AGCTGTTCCAGTTTACTTTAACACTGTAATTTTTAATTAAAGAGGAAAATAGGGCACACCTGTTCTGGAAGAGGGATGTTTACAGAGTTGTTGTTGAACAACGTCTGTGTAGATGAGCCGAGAATCAACAGACACCTAACCCAGCTTCCCACTTCCCTCCAGGGTGATGCACAAGTTGCATGCTTAGCAGAAAGCCACAAAGAAAATAAGATGGCAGTTATGACACATATCTCTGCTTTGATATCCCTGACATTTTTAGGGGACATTTTGTTGTCTGTCCTTGTGGCATTTTCACTGAACATGGGAAGACATTGTACGCGCCTGACATTCAACACAGCAGCATGGGTTCTCAGCATGTTCCCACAGCCATGGTGAGCTCCATGTGGTGTGACCATCCTTTTGTCCCACAAGTATGAGCTAGCTGGGTAACAAAGTTCCCATCTGAGATCCTGTCGCAATGGGAACACAGGAATATGAAACACAGCCAGTGCTCCAGCAAGGATATTTTACATATGCCCAAAGAAATCCTGAAGCCCATGGCAAGTGTGCAGAAGGCTCCCCATATGTTGGGCATACTTCATGAAGTGTGAAGTGCACTGAAGAATCTGAACAGGAAAACCTCTACATCTTCATCCCCACTGCTGGGAAGCACTGCTTAGCGGCACTTGGTGCCTGGGCACAGAAGGAGAAGCAGCATGTTAGGAATGCAGTATGGCCAGTACATTCAGGTATTGCCTACACCTTGTGGGCCACAACTTCTTGAGACGCGGAGGAGCAGTTTGGATATCCGTTCTTCTGTGACTGCAGGCTGTTTGCGTGAGTCATCTGGATTCTTCTTGATAGCTTGCAATAACACTCTGAGTCTCTCCAGGTTACACTCGCTCCCCCATTAGTCACAGGACAAGACTTCAGCTCTGACTTTTTAATAAGAAAGTATAATTATTGTTGCTGTTACATAAGGACATTCAAGTGTCACAAGTTCACCATGTCTGTATTAATTTTGAAAGCTATCTAGGGCTTCTTTCTTTCAACAGTTTTCCTTTGCTTCTAAGTTTTCAATTATAATATGCCACTGAGGCTAGGCAAATTTCTTTCATTTTATCTTGTGGAGTGTCTTGATTACACACCTGTTGAATGCATTTAGTATTCCTTTCCAAGCTAGAATCCCCATTTCAGGTAATTTCTTCTAGAGGAGTTTTCAGATTAGCTTTCATAAGACAAAGATGAGTACCACTGCCAATTACCACATACCATGCTGCTTGTGTAAGGTATGATATGCCAAGATTCGCATCACAGGTGTAAGATCTCAGGACTCCTCTGTCGTAGCGTGATGCAATCTTAACCCCATGACTTGTGTCAGGAGCACTTACGAAATCCTTACCCTTGCTGTGAGGGAGGGAAGGGAAGGGAGAGAAATCACCAACCCCCATTTTTTGTTCTCTCATAATAGTAATGGCCTGGGAAAATCCTGTAATTCTCATCTGTGTTAGTAGTAAAGGTTGTATAACTATTCCTTGTTACTCAAATCTGTCCTTTCTCCTCAGCTACACAGGTGATTCCTCAGCTTTTTCTCAGGAAGACCTCCTTTACCATAGATGGATTTCTTTTTCATGGGATCTCAGTCATATTTGATTCCTTTTTTCGTATTTATCAGTAGGAGGAGAACATGAAGATCACATCTTTGAATGGGAATAACACAGTGTATGGATTCTTGGAAAATTCTAACACACTTGACCTCTTGCATCACCGATCCCTAGTAACATCATTAGTCATTTCATCCCCTAGCAGAATAGAAGCCCAGCATGATATGCTTTGATCTTCTGAAGAGCAGTCAAGTTCTGATCACAGATTCTGGAGACAAAGTCTGTGAGGGCTGGGGGAGAGAGTATTTTTTCAAGTCCAAAATAAGTCAGTCCCCACCTGTTTGCCTCAGATGAGCTTTTCTTTTCCATTTTAGCTAAGACATGACAATTCTTGTAAGCACACAGCAGCAGCATCCAGCTGAAGTGAAAGGAGGAATAAATGCCCATACAATGAGATGGCACTCATTTTAAGCCAGAGACTCATAAAGAACTACAGGCTAACAGATTCCAAACATTGCCATAGATCTCATGACAAATCAGCAATCAAGTTGCTTGGACTTTATTTCAGCGGCAAGATGAAGATTATCTTCTAGAAATGTAACCATGCATTTGCACACTGATTCAACCAATTAAGATACTGTTTTAAAGTATTGATTGTAAGAGTTGATAGCATTTAAAATTTTAATCATTATTATTAGAGAAAGACTGTTCTAGATATAGGGAGTCTGTTCTTCACACATCTTTTAGCCCCTAGAAATTCTGGCTTCACATGTAATAAATGTAAGTTTGACAGTATCTTGGAAGTAAAGGGGAGTTAGTGCTCTTGAGTATTATGTTTGGCTGCATGGAAAACATGTGCAATGAGGTTAGACTGGATATTGATGCTGCCTTAACTGATTATTTTCCTGATTTTTCTTTAAAGAGAGATCTGTATTTTCTTTAAAGAGCGATTTTTTCAGTTTACTACCCTTCAATATAAAAATTAATGGGGATTCTTAACACCCGTGTATCTAACTCTATTGCCTAAGCCATAGTCTCTATAACATAGTTATCTACAAGACTAAAACCACTATGTACTAATCTATGTTGACAGTGTGTCTTCAGGAGATGTTCCACAGAGAGATCAATGTTCTGTTACAGTCCGCACTCACAGCACTGACTACAAGCACCTAAAACTCCCAAAATAACTATATTAGTCTACATCTGACCAAAATAAATTTGATAGCAAGTGCTATGTACTAGCCTTGGAAAGTCAGTATCATTTACCAGTGCTCTACATGCCATTTTGTTTCATGATATTCAGAAGAGGCAATTCACCCCAGTGGAGAGAGCCTACACAAAGGACCGTGTATATGTGTGTATATATATATATATATATATATGTATGTCAATTTATATCATCATTGAGTGTTCCAGTCTGAGAATTTCTTGATGAATTGTTTCCACTCTTACTCTACCTCAGTACACAAGAGGGAGCTAGATAAAGGGCCTGTAGCACAAAACAATTCCTTGTATCATACAAACGCTTTCTGGCTATGTTTGCAAAGGGATGGAAAGTTCAGATGGCAAAGCATAGCCACATAATCCATCACCAAATGTATCCTCCCCTTTCCCCATGTGTGGCCTTCAGGCATCCTCCTCAGGCATTTAACCTGTTGCATCATCAGCCCCTCTGGAGCTTTGCATGTTTTCCCCTTGCATTCATCTGTTGGGCTTTTGGCTCAGCTATTTATACAGGTTCTGGATTTGGTCCTGAAGCTTTTAGCAGAACTTGTACACACTGTTAATGATACTGTGCCTGGTTTAGAAAGCAAGCAAAATAGATAATTCTACAGAGAGTCACGGAACGGATGATATCAAAATGAATTGTGTTGGAATAAAATGCAAGCAGTGGCATCTGGAATACTGGAGAGGGAAAACAGGTCAGCTGCAAATTCCAGGATGCTGAATCAACATCAAAACCAGTAACAAATGGTGCCATGAGCAATTATACAGAGCTTGACTGACATTTGAAAAGTCAACAGATAGTGAAAGAAAAGAAATGAAAGAAAATAACCTTGAACCCTGGAAATAGTTATATTCCCTACCAAAACTGGCCTGCTTACAACATATTTCAATATAAAAGAAGCATAGCTATTGTCATCTAAGGCTGCAAATGAATATTTGCATTTGTATGAAGCCTCTGGTGCTAAACTAATTCAGAAGTCATGTCTGTAATCCCTAGCAGCATGCAAACTCAAGAGAAATCATGCAAGGGACTTCCACATCTGTCCTGTTTCCAGTGCTGTCAATGCAAGTTTCCTCCACTGCAATTTCAGATTTCTTAAGGGGCACATACTTTCATCAGGCTACTTTAGTAAGCCCAAAGGTGGAATTAAGTTTGGAGACAAGTACTGAAGCCAGCATAAATCAAGACACCAGGGATGCAAAGAGTCATACCAAACTGAAAAGCATAGTCAGAAATTCATGGAGCCAGAAGGTTGAAAACCACAGAGTCCCTATTATAAGTCAGGGCTGGAACAAGGTGAATTATAGCAGCATAACACAAAGGAGACGGGAACCAGGGATCAAGACTAAGCAAACAGGAATGAAAAGCAAGAGAGTCAGAAGCAAAACTACAGCCAAATGGCACTGCAGACTGCCAAGAGCAACTGGTGGAGTTGCCTGACACATCTGCTATTAGAGGAAATTAGCCAAGCCATAGCTCCTGCACAGCTGGGCCACAGTCCCAGTTGCCCTATTGCATCCAGCTGCAGGGCCAGTAGCCCAGGCAGAGTCCAACAGTGTGGATAAATGTGCATTGGTTTAAAACTCAATCTGCTGGAGTAGCTTGTCCCTATAAATTCACTGGTGCACGCAGCAGATTTAACTCATCTTCTGTATCCAGTAGAGCACTGCAATGATATGCCTAAATGTATTTAAAATTATAGCTTTAATTAAGCACTGCAAGTCTGTGCAGTGGAAAGGCCTTAGTGTAGAAGAAATAGATGCGTCTGGAGGCAGACAACAGTGCCAAGGTTCCCAGAAGTGGAAAGACAACCCCTCATCTCCCCCTGCTGGTGTGCACATCCTAATCCTCTCTGCACAGTGGTGAGGAGCATCTACCTCAGCTGCTTCACCTGTGTCAGTACTTTGTGAAACTGAAAGAAAGGACCCTTGGGAGCAGCTTCTAGCATCGAACTGTTCTCAAGATGCTGGCAACAGCTTAAAACCACAGTCCTGCTATCAAGAATTAGTCATTTGCTCCCAGAGAGCTCATCCCGCAGGCTTTGGTTCTTAATTAGACATTGCTTTTAATGGGAGACTATGGAACGCAGATTTTGCAATAGGCCTTGAGATGTTATCCCTGTGAATATTAAAATCTTCCAGAAAATATAAATGAAGAAAGGAATGGAGGGAAAGCTCATTGCTTTTTTTTGAGATGCTGTTGCAGTAGCAAACATCATGACCAATTCCTGTTGAGAGAGAAAGGAACAATACTGGAAGGAAATGGGAACAGCAAAATAGCAAGATATATATTCATTTTGCATTATAAGTAACTAATAGCTAATTTAATTCTGGCATGGTATTAAAAACTACTAGTGGCAGAAGCAGCTGATGAGATCCCAAAGTAAGACGTGATGCTCAGTATGTTCAGTACCCAGGCTGCTTTTCTGCCTCCTTTTTTACAGGAGTAATGCCATTGTCAGAGACACAAAATCAAAAAGGAATGTGTATAATCTTTTGCAAGAGTGGAACCTTATTTGTTTTCATAAAGATTTCATGATTTACTACTTATTTTTCTCCCTTTTTGTCCCGAAAATAGTATAGATTAAATCCCTGCTATTTTAAAAGTAAGATGCATGGAACTCATCCTGGAGTAAATGATTTATTCAAGTACCGTCAATGCCAACTGAGGGCTCAGTGATAACAAACAGACCATAACTGGTGTTAGAGGCGAGATAATTAATCACAGTAAGTTAATATCCAAGGAACAAATACCAAAACCTTCAATTTCATTGAGAAAAACTCTCATAAAGTGTCTTGTGATGTATTATTTAAAGAAGCATAATGAACATGAAAAGGAACAATGGACTAGAATGTGTTTTCTGTACTGACCTCCTGTGCTATGTCTTCCTAGGGAAGACGGAATGAAAAAAAAGGAGAGAACAATCTGATCTCTGAATGTGTATCTGTAAAATTCCCAAATATTTACAAAGCAAACCAGTGAAACCTGGAGATTGCCATACTGTTTAAGGAGCTCTAATGAATAGAACTGCTATATTGAAATAAATGTAACTAACTTAGTGAAGTTGGCTTAGTGATAGCATTACAAAATATAAAACTCTTCAATTCATTTTCAGTCAGAGTGGCCATAATTTATACATTGGGAATCCAGATTCTCACTTACCCCAAGGTTTTAAACTGCTATAAGATGCAAAGTTGCTTTATAGCTGTTGTAAGTTACACTTACACTCACTTCAAATCCATTTTATATTCCTGGGGTGATGAAGAGCAGCCCTAATGTAAGGCAGAGCCAGGTTTCTAATTGCATAAAAATATTCTCAACCAAGGATGCAAATTCAGGGGTGCCCTCTTCACCATCTGCTGCAAAGACACTCCTTCACTGTAGTAGTGCTCTACTAGTCCCACGAGGCTTTCCTGCAGGGCAGCTTGTAATATTAGGTGTTACTATACTTAAAAAAAAGAAAGAAATATCAACAACCAAACTCCCTCCTTCTCCCCCATGCACCTATGTCATCTAAAAACATCAGCTTCAGGCATGCCACAGAACATCTTTTTAATCATATTTTAATCAAATTGCTTTTCATTAGCTTCTCAAGTTTTATGTAAGAAGCACATGAGCTGCTTTAATCTTTCCTCCTCCTCCCTCACTCCTCAAAAGAGAGTTTCAGTACTCTGTGCTTACTCAAAGAATGGAATTCAGCACAGCAACAGACACATAAATCTTCTGAACTGCTAAAAAAGTGCTACCCAGAGGCTGGTATGGCTTTAGATGATGACAAGTGCACAGGACTAGAGAACACAGTTGAAAAGCACTCAGATAATGTATTTTCCTTTAAAAGATCCCTAGCAGCAAAGGAACAAGGGTTATTGATGTGTTAAAAACCACAGAAGATCCTGAGAATGGTCATGTAGGAATTAGGACTTCCCTCCAGAAGGTGACAGGATCAATAGCCCAACTGAAGCATGCATCTACACCAATGCATGCAACCTGGGTAACAAACAGGTGGAGCTGGAAGCCATCGCACAGCAGGAAAACTATGACATAGTTGCTATCAAGGAAGCATGGTGGAATGACTCACAACTGGAGTGCTGCAATGGATGGCTATAAAGTCTTCTGAAGGGATAGGCAAGGAAGGAGAGGTGGTGGGACAGCCCTGTGTGAGGGAGTGCTTTGATTGTATAGAACTTAATGGTGGTGGTTAGGGTTGAGTGTTAATGGGGAAGGCTGAGAAGGCAGGTGTCGTGGTGGCAGTCTGTTATAGACCATCCAGCCAGGATGCAGACGCAGATGAAATATTCTATAAGCATCTGAGAGAAGTTTCACCATCACTAGACCTGGTCCTCATCGGGGAATTCATCTTACCAGATATCTTCTGGAAATACAATATAACAGAGAGAAAACAGTCTGGGAGACCTTACTATCCTCTACAACTACCTGAAAGGAGGTTGTAGCGAGGCAGGTGTTCATCTCTTCTCCCCGGTAGCAAGCAATAGGACAAGAGAAAATAGCCTCAAGTTGCACCAGGGGAAGTTTAGATTGGATATTAGGAAAGACATTTCACAAAAACAGGCTGCCCAGGGAAGTGGTTGAGTCACCATCCCTGGAGATACTTAAAAGATGTGTAGATGTGGCACTTAGGGACATGGTTTAGTGGTGGACTTGACAGTGCTGAGTTAACAGTTGGACTTGAGGATCTTAAAGGTCTTTTCCAACCTAAATGATTCTATGATTCTTATTGGTACAGGGCACATCCATTCCATAAATAGATGTGTTCCACAGGATGGTTCAATTTCATCAGCTTGACTTTAATGGTTTGTGAAAATAATTGAAACCATATCAAGGAGCAGACAGTAACATGATCCAAACTACGAAGATATTGCATATTGAATGTAAGTAAATATTTTTCAGTTACTCTAGCTATCTTAGCATTGCATATAGGCCCAGCACTTGGGTTAATTGCTTTATATGATGCTGCTTTCTGCCTAAGAAGGAAATACTTCTCTAACTCTCCTGGAGTTCACAGCTATCCCAAGAGTAATGACTTCTTGCTGGTTTTCTTCCAAAGGATGTTGTCAGCTCCTCAGTAGTTCATTTCGGGTGAAAATAATCCTTGTGCCAAGACTAGGCCAAGATCATATACCTAATAAGTCCAATTAAAATCTTCAGATAAGGCTCAAATGATATTTAAGTACTACAGTGCTAGCCTTCTGCTCAGTAGTGAATTCATCTAGTATCTGCAAAAATGGGTTTGCTCTGAGTTGAAAATTATCAAGGGCTTATCCTGACCTCAGAGTGGGATTGGTGAGACTTCCAAAATTGAGTAGCTCAGGACACATGCTCTGCCAGATTCTCAGGAGTGTTCTGCTTTAATAGATCAGCTGGCAGAGGCCTGATCACAATTGTCTGGATACTAGTGGAGGATAGTAGATACTAGTGGAGGATCTGGATGCTGATGCAATACATTGGTCCCAGGAGACCTGAAGGCTGGAAGCAGCCCTGACACTGTGACTGGTGCCAAACACGAGAGTCACAGGGAGTGCTACCACTATGTGCTTGCGTCATGTTCCCCCGCAGCTGGGAAACAGGGTGCTAGAGGATGTAGTCATGTCATCTCATCTATGTATCCATCTATTTTAGTAATGAAGCTTACATCGAAAAGAAAGAGGCAGAACATAAAAGACAGTTATCGCTGCTATGCAGATGTAGAATTAAACATGGTCTGCTAATACAATGAGTTCCTACCAGATGGCAGATGATCCGACCTTCGTCACTTCACTAAAATGCTTTCCTTTTGCCTCTGTCTTGTTCAGATGTAGCTTGAGCTGACACTTTTTATTCTTGCTCCAATTTCTTTTATGTACTGGATCAGCTGGAAAAAAGATCTTGTTCATACTGGGAAGAAACAAGACAAATGGCTGTTTCCAGCACCATATAATTAGGGTGCAAAGCATGGCCACATAAAAAATATAGATGCATGTAAAATATGGGAACCAGACCTTCTGCCTTACTAATGCAATTATTCATATGCATGGCAACACAAATATGCTGTGGAAGGGAATCTGTGTCAGTGATAATGTTTGCTCTGATATTCACTTGCATATTCATGGGCTCAGATGGAGAATATGAAGTGGGGAATGATTGGTTCACCTCCTTCCATCGCTGTGTCCTCAAAATTTTCCTTCTTTGTTTTCCTTTCTTCTTTTCTCTCCTTTTATTCTGGATTTTTTATTCCCCCTCCCCCTCATTTCAGAAGTATCTGGAACAATACTTCAGAAAAGTTTTATTATAGCATGTTTCCTCTTAATAATGTAGATCGAACCCTGCAGTACCATACACATTCCCTTTCTCCTAGAACCTTTAAAACACCCAATTAAAGCTACTGCCTGCACCCCCCTTTTTTCTCTTTCTCCTCATCTTTGCTCTGTTGTAGCCCATGGTGGGCAGCGATAAGGAGGAATGGATAAGTCTGCTGTGACATTTTCCAGTGATTCTTTCGCAGGAAGGAGCTGTTTCTCAGCATTCCCAGCATATACTCTCGTAGAGTCCAGAAACACTTTCCAAAGTATTCTGGAGATTCTTAAACTCCATTATTGCAAGTGGTCTCCACTTTCTCCCCATCAGAGCGTGTAATTCAAATCACTCCAAGCATTCTCTGGCCACTGTCTTTGAAGTATCTACCTACATGCATTAGGGTAAAATCTGAGTAAGTCCCTCACAAACAGAGGTGAGCTTGGTTTCCCCACTTAAAAAAAAAAAAAAGAAAAGAAATTGCTAATAATGCTCTAAACATATAGAAATATATAGTCACTGCCAACAGTAACACACATAGCAGCCAGCTTCCATCTGCGTTGAGATTTCCCAGACAAGCTGTACAATATCACTCCAGAAACTGCTAAGCCCTGGCAACAATCAAAAGATTGGTGTGGAGGCACTGCAGAAACATTGGATAAAGTTAATCAGGCAGGCCAATGAAATAAATATTAGCACGAAACTGAGGGAGAAGCAGCTGCTGTCCCACTGGGGACAGACACCAGCCTTTTACTCCAAAGTTCTGCATAATTTGCGTGTCATTCTTATATAATATTCACATGATATGAAGATCATATAAGAAAACTTGTAGGAATTAATGCTAAAAAGAAGACACTGACTTTCTCCTAAGAGTATGCTGAATTCCCAAATGAGGGTGGAAAAAGAGAGAAATTTTATGATTTCTTGTTATTTAGCAGTAAACAGATGCTTTCTGGCCTTTTGCTTACTTTTGTGTTGGACTAAAAGTATATAAACTGCTTTGAAGAAAACAGTATGTTTGGAAACTCCTGGATTTCTTAAATATATTTTGAGAGGGACTTTTTACAAGGGCACGTAGGGATGAGACAAGGGGGAATGGCTTTAAACTGAAAGAGGGGAGATTTAGATGAGATAATAGGAAGAAATTCTTCACTATGAGGGTGATGAGGAGCTGGCACAGGTTGGCCAGAGAAACTATGGCTGTCCCATCTCTGGCAGTGTTCAAGGCCAGGTTAGACGGGGCTTTAAAAACCACTGCTTGGCATCTTTCATAATTACTTTTGCAGAAGGGCAGGAATGCTAACACCCTCCTGCCCACCCTGCTCACTAGCCACAGAGAATCATTTCCTTTTCTTGTTTGGATAAACTATACAAGTAATCAACAAAAAGTGAGAGTTTCACATTTCACATTCAAAGGTGCAGAGCCTGGAAGCTGAACTCAGCAAACTTCAAACTGGAGACAAGACACACGTTTATAACAGTGCAGGTAATTAACCACTGGAATTGCTTGCCCTGGAATATACTATGACACTTGGAGCTTTTAAATCAAGTCTGGATGCCTATAAAAAAATGCTGTCTGCTTCAGCTGCAAGATACTGAACTCACTGTAGAAACCATTGGCCTTGTTATGCAGAAAGTTAGACTAGACAGTCCAAGAGCTTTAGTGGCTAGGAAAGTCCTAAGAGCTTTAGTGGCCAGGAAACAGAAATCCAGGCAAGTGTAAAACACAGTTTGCACAAATCCTGGTAATGCACACTATTTATGAATTCACTTTTGCTGAGAATATCAAGCACTTAAATTAAAAATTAGCTGTCTGTGGGTGCACTGGTCATACTATAATACACAATGTATATGACAGAATGTGTGCAAGTGGAACATGTGCGTGGCTTCAAGTGCAAGCAAACCAAAATTCCCATAAAATGTGAACCATGTGTTTATACATCTTTGTTCATGTATTTTATTTTTTAATCATTTTTAATAGACTGAAAATGAAGAACTGTAGTCCAGTAAAAATAACAGTGACCGGCTACAGCTACACATGAGGGTTAGCAACTTGCCGAAGTCACACCGCTTACTCCTGCATTGACCGAGACCAAGCTGCTGAGACTCCCAAGGCACTGCAGCCTGGATTTCTTCTGGGACACCTGTATGTCTTCATCATTTAATTTGTACAATCCCCAATAATCCTGAGTGTAATTACAGTTCTGCCAGGCAGTCTTAGTCCCCTCCAAAGCAGAATCCTTGTCAGAGAGAGTAAAGGTAGAAACTCTTCTCTGCTCTCCCTAGCCATTGCCAGGAAGAAACTTCAGCCCCCACCGATGAGGCTTTCCCATAGAGCACTGGTCACCCAGACTAGGCAGCTCCCAGTGGTTTCCACAGTGAAGCAGTTTCATGCCTTGTTCGTTTGCATAAAAATCTGGCCTTTATCCAAAGAGCTAGAATCCATGTCAGCTTCTCATTCCTAGGAATCATGTATTTGAACGCTGGATGCCCTGTGTCATCTTGCCACCTCCAATTAATTCAGAAAGTTCTTTCTGGCATTTTATGCCAACAAATTTATCAATCCAGCCTGCTGACTATGCAAGTCTTTTTCCTAAATACACTACACTGAGTACCTGAAAACACATAACTATTTTTCTTAGAAGCTCAGTGCAAAGTCTCTTACCTGACTGCTTCGTGGCACTGACACAATGGGACATCTTTCTAGTGCTACTATAGAAGTTATCGCTCACAGTCTATCATTACTTTGCTCGATTTTATCCAGTTATCCATTTGATTTCCAGATGAATTTAATCAATTGGAGTAGCTAGATGGAACATTTTAGCCAGAACTGTGCCCTAAGATGCACCTTGTTTACCATTTCATAAAGAAAAAAAAAGGAAGACAACACTCAGTCCATTCAGCCTGTGCATAAAACCCAGTAAAGCCAGTGGTTTTACCTTACTCCTCAATTAGTCCACTTATTTCAGTGAGGCTCCACGAACTTCCACAAGAGCTAAATATATCTCCTAGGATATATTTACTATCCAGAATAGTCTCTGTGCAATTCAGAGCCTCCTGAATCAGCACATAAGCAAGGTAACATGGTGGTCTCAGAGAAATCAGGCCTTGTAGAAGAGATGTCAAACTCATGTCGCCGGAGGCTGCATTTCCAGACATAAGGCTGAACTGAACCAGCTGAGGACGTCCCAGTTCCACCTTCATAGACCCCTGTAGCCAGAGATGAGTTAGTTGTTTGTCATTGTGCAACACAAACTCTCCTGCAGTGTTTGTGCATTTTGGTTTGGAGGACTGAGAAGGAAAGGCTGCAGCTTGGTGCCTTCCACAACATAACACATGCTGGACGCTTTTTTGTCCACTGCACAGTTATGTAAAAGTGGATCAACAAGTCTCTCTGCTTCTCTTTTCCCATGGCACAGCAGACATGATTTAAATCCCAGTCTGCAGCGTTTGCTGTGTGCTGATGGCTTTTCACAATACAGGTCTGAGATGTTACAGGCCACAGGAACACAGGTAGGGAGCTTGCTATCAGTGCTGCAAGTTTTTCCCAGTCTACAGCTAGATATTAAATAGCTATAACAAAAATGAGACCCAAAATAGCCTCTGCTTGAAGCTGAACTCCTTAGGCCTGAAAATGGCATAGTAGGATTTTGTCAGAATTGATCCCCCCCAAAAAAAAATTCAGTGGAATTTTAGGAAGTTTTGACCTATGAATAAATAGCAGTTAAGAAGAAGAGACACACATGCTTTGGTTTTATTGTTTTCTTCTCTCTTTTTTTCTCTTTTCTCCCTCTTCCCCCTATTTACATGAGTTTTTAAATCTAGATGGTCAAAGCAGTACCTCCTGGAACAACACAAGACAAAGAAAGCCCTTCACTCTAGGTGGTTCAGGCCCGCACACTAATGCTGAGGTACCATTGTGATGCCCTGTTCTGGCAACTGTGTAATTACATCTCAAATGGAAGCATTAGATTCACTGTGCACACTCACTGAAAGAGAGATTAACAACTGCAATGGTTTTCAAGATAAGATTTTTATACTGATGCTCTTTCTGCCGCTGTACCAAAATTCTTGTGGTGAAGTCAGTGAATCACAGTAATATCTAAGTGTTGACAGCTATTTATGTTAGGTTCTTTTGAATTTGTAAACAGAATATGACAGAACTAAAGCAACCGCCAAGAGGTTATTTTACACTCTGCTGAACTACATGAAGTGATATAAAGGCATTTCAGAAAAGTTTTACGGAGCTGGGGAAAACTGTAGGACTAAAATTCAGATTGTATTGGAGAAAAAACCCTAACATGGTTCCCACAGTGAAAGTTCATCCTTGTAACATCGTACTAGCTAACATCAGGGTCCTATCTGTCTAATCAACAAACCAAGTGTGTGCAGGATGTGTGTATTGACAATAATGGTGTGGTGCCAGGGCACGGTCTTTCTTTTTATATTAGATACATATGCCATTATGGGTAAGCATTGTCTAAGGACCTAGCACACACAGAAAAAAACCACAAACAAACAAAAAGGTTGTGCAAGCTCTGTCCTAGCCACAGGCCACAGGATGTAGCCCACAGAGCCCTTCAGCAAGCAGTCACATCCTCCTCCACTGCTTCTTTTTTAGGCTTTATGGGAGTCCCCAGGATCCACATGTAAACAACACTCACTCGTTTTTCATTCATTCTGCTCCTTCCGGCAACCTCCCACTCTCATCCCACTAGAAAACACCTAAGAGAGAAAAATAAATGAGGACCTGGGTATAAGAATGTGAAGAGCTTGCTTGGTGAAGCTATAGACAAAATAGATTTGGGAGTTAAAAGTCACACGAAATGTCTGCTCTGTGCCCCAGTTCCAGTTTTCAAACAGCTGACTGTGAGATACTCATGTTTTGGGGGTCTTTTTTTAATTTTCTTTCTTTTTTTGCCTTGCCCCTTTTTTATTTCTGAACACGTTTCAAGGCAAAGGAAAAGA